TGAGAATGGAATTTCTTTTTCGGGCAATATGAGTTCGAAGTATGCGCAGTTTCGAGTGAAAATTCTTCTTATGTGAAAAAAATTTTTGTACTTTGTTTCTGATAGCGGTTTTGATAATAAAAAAAAATTCTTGATTCGAAAAAAAAAATTGAGCTACTGAGCAAAAAATATTTAGATAAAAAAACAGTTTTTTTCAAATTTAACATTAAAAATGTTTCAAAATAGGGAAGAAATAACAAAAAATTATGCCAGAAAATGAAAATTTTGTTAGGTCGAAAGTTATGAAGTTCCATTGGATCATTCCTCTTTCAAATTTCCTTCTTCAAAACGTTGATTTATTTTCGAAACCTCAAAAAATATCTATATGATTCAGAAAGGATACAAGAAGGTGAAACACAGCGTTTATTTTTTTGTCATACATGGTTTTTCTGTTTATTACACATTTTTTTCTATTCCTTTGCCTCATTCAACTAGAAACATTTAAGGTTTTGAAAAATCAAGCGTGAAAATTGACAAGAAAAACTCAGTTTTTGTTGTTATTAACGTCTAGATAGACAGGCAAAATCAAAATGACTTGTAAATTTATTCCTTCCTAAAAAGCCTTTTGGCAATAATTCATGACAGAACAGATTATCATGGGTCTCGAAAATATAAAATATTTTTCCCACTTCTTCAAACTTATTTTTCAAATGAGTGGAAAAAAACGTTTTTTTCATATTTTTTTCAAAATCCGTTGTCCATCGGAATGTCAAAACGTCTCATACTTGCTGATTTGCTCATGTCCTTTGAGAGCCGAGTAGTGGAGTGTCGTATACGTTGATGTCGGATCTCTCAGAGCTGCCAGATGGTTCGACGCCGACGAAGCCCGAAATATGCTAAACACACTCCGATTTGATCAACTCCTCTAAAATTTAATTAATCCCCCGGCCACTATATTCATCAGCTTTGAGCTTCGATAATGAGATTCGAAGCCGGATAAGAATGGATAAAAACAATCGCCGTCTAGAGGAATCGTGTTACACGTATTGCTGAATACGTTCTTGTTTTCGGCAAAAAAAACAACAGATTTTTCACCTCGAAGATATAAGATGTAGGTTGTCAATAGCGGTTTTTTGGCAGCAGGAATACACTCATTATTTTTTTTTACTTCAGAAAGGCATCATTAAGATAGCGAAAACATCTATAAATTTGGAAAGTTTGGCAAAACACATCAGAAAATTGTTAAATAATTTCGTCCACGCGCAAGTCACTTCTTAGTCGGTTGCACTTTAATAGGAATTGTTTTTTTAAGGACTGTGAGAGAGAAAGAGAGCACAAAAGTTTAGAATTATTCCAAAAAGATAACATCAGTTTTTTTCAATTGAATCTCCCAGCTTTTCCATAGAATCAGATAAAAATTATTTTCAGGTTTCTAAATGCTTTCATAGATATTCATCGGGAGTTTTTCACTCAAAATTTCGAAATTGGATAAAGTTTAATAATCATTACCTCAATGGGGTCCTTGGACGTTTGTGCTTTTTGGCCGATAAAAGCGAGCGGACGCACTCATAATCACCTTGACGACACGCATCGAAAAGTTCCTGCAACATAACTTTATGATGAAAAATCAGAAAATCAAACACTTCAAGACTGTAAAAAACTTACAATTTGGGACGGCGTCAAGTCCTTCAAAGTCATCTCGAACTTTCAATAAGCGAACCCGTGGCTAGTGTTGCATCTGTAAGAAGACGTGAACAGGTTGCGATGAAGATATCCGAAGGAAAAGCAGAACAAAATAGAATAACGAAGGAACAGGGAAACGAAGAAAAAAAAAATGCGAACCGTACAAGTGAACGCGCGGAAGTGTGAAATGGCAACGATTATGGAAGAATTGGGTGAAAGTAAGGAAACCTATGATTTCGATGGAATATTCTACGAGATGATATAGTTTATGGCTGAAAAATGTGAGATGAGAGGGGAAATGATTCTGATTTTATTGGAGCGAGAGAGAAAAAAATGGATAAGAAGGTTTTTTGGTATCAAAAGTTGAGTCAAGCCACCGTTTTTTGGTGAATTCTTGATATCCCAACTTCGTGAAAATCAAAATAAATATGATCTTGTATTTTAATTAAGAAAGAATCAAATTTTCCGGAAAATAAATAACAAAACTGTCCCAATCAGTTCAAAAGAGAAATTGAGAAAGTAAACCAGAATCATGTGAGAAACGTCGGGAACGATAGAAAATATGGCAATAAAACGCGGTTTCTGTCAGAAAAAAGGAAAAAAAACCAAGAAAAAAAAGTCGTAGGACTGATGGGAAAACAGTTTTGTAGCGATCCCAGAACTTTTTTTGCGCGATACACTGACTTTGGGGGAAAATGGGGGTTTCAATGAAGGGATCTTTCGGGCAGCAAATGTAGTCGTTCCATCCCGACTTGAAAGGCAAAGAAAGCAGGAAAATGTGCGCGGTATTTCGCATGATTACAATTCAAGCGCCATCGACTTTTTGAAAAGCTCGGTTACCGCTCTTTTTCTATCTCTTCTACTGCTTTTCAATGCAAAAACGGAAAAAATCAGTAACGAACTGAAATGGAAAGAAATGGAAAGAAATGGAAAGAAATGGAAAGAAATGATAATGGAAAGGAAGATAAATGAACTCTTCAAATAGTCGCTGGCGGTTGAACTGATTACGTGTCAAGAACCGCAAACGCGCACGCTACGCGTCTCGTCTCCTTCACTGCCTTCTTGGCCTTTCAGGTCGAGAAAAAAATAGACTGTAATCCACTGAAATCAGACAAACTGACTTCAATGAGATGCCGAATTTCTTCGTTATTTGATAAATAATGACTTGGTACTAAGCGAAACCTATTTTTTCAATGGAATTCCGTGTTGTGATATAGACTAAATTAAAAAAAAATTTTTCTCGCATTATATAACTTATTCTGAATACAAGACTGAAGTTGTCTCCAGGTGAAACCAGAAAAATTTATTCCGAAGAGGCAGCAATTTTTCAGCAATTTGAAGGAAGACACCGGATGACGCAGAAAAACAAAAATGACAGAACTGGAACAAATTTGAACCTAGAAGGAAGGGGCGGCCACCAGCTGGCATTCAAACTTGGGGGTCCAAAAAAACGTCGCAGCTGAAAAAAAAGCACGGCGAGGGGGACAACGCTGTGGCAGGTGAAAGTTGCCACCTTTTTTTGCTTTTTTTGCGAATTGTTTCGAATTCGAAATTTGAATTTCGATGGAAAAAGCTTGAGTTGACGAAATTTCCTATTTCAAACCTTTGATTATTTCTCATTTCACTGAAGTCCCACCTGACTATTTTTCTGCTCAGAAAATTTGAAAATGAGCTTGATCTTGAAAAAAAAGGGGAAATTAGGAGAGTGGGCTCTTTTTAATTATGAATAAATGATTTCTGAGCTAGATTTTCTACCGAATTTCCATTTTTCAAAACTTCAACTGAAAAAAAAAGTGGGAAGATCCTCTTGAAAAAGAGGAAAAGATCCTGTCAGAATGAATAAGGAAGTAATAAAAAAATGCCTCGTAATCAAATTCTCCTTTGAATTCAAAATTAGTGACTATGCGACTGACTAAGAAGGGAAAGAAAAAACCTGTTAGTGCAAACTTGAATAAAAAACGATGAAAAAAACACATTTTAAAGCCATAGTCAACTTGGAACCCAATGTGAAGTTACTTGTGAATGAGGAGACAAATCTGAGAATCAAAAAAAAAACTTGAAGCTGAGGATACACTAATCAAAAATAAAATAACAAGACTCTGAACTCAAAAATAGGGAGAATTGAAAAGAAATTGAAAAAAAATTTCATCTCAAATTTACATCTGAGAAGTCAGAAACTCGGATGGGGAACAATATATTAAGTTATTCGGAAACAAAAGTCGGAAAAGCTTCAACAAAAAAAAACATAAGAGCAACATCTCAAAAGACCCAATGGTCACTGCGGACTGCCGAGAGGGAGTCTAAAGAAGTGCGGGAAAAGCATGAATGTGTTAGAAGTGGGGGTGGAGAGATTGCGTAATGCATTGCATTGCATTTTCGCCCTTTTCACCACTTTCTTGCTTGCTGTGCAGCTCTATCCGCGACTACTGGTCACTTAAAATCTGCCATTCAAAGGCCCCCGGAATTACGGCTCGGCCGCGGCTAAATACAAGCTTAGTTGGCGTTCTGACGGCACCCAGTTGTTGCGTCTTCAACCACATATTACAACATGATTGCTTGAAGAAAACCGAAGAAGGTGGGTTACACGATTTTATGAAGAAGTAACTTTCATTTCGACATCTTCACTAATTTATCATCAAGAGTAGTTTTCGAAATGATTCACAATTTTTACAACTTTCGAACGAAAATGTCCTTTTTCGTTTTTCTGAAGTAGAGCCTTTTTAGGAAAAAAAAAATAAGTTTTTCAGCCACAATAAATAAGATAATCCGTTACAGTTTTGAAACCTGCAAGAAACCAGACTCTTAAAACAAAAGAAATCTCGAGAAACTTAAAAAAGTAGAGTTCCAAAGATGTTAAAGTTATTGAAAAATTGGAAAATGAGTTGCTTCAAAAAGTTTCATAAGCCGAAAAGAGGCACTAAAAGCCCTTGATCGTTTGAGACGCACTTTAAAAAAATGGTTCGCACGGACAAAGATATTTTCATTTTTCTATTAGGGCACTATTTTCGGTTGGGCAGTTTTGAGACTGAACAAAACATCAATTGAAAGAAGTTACAGCAGTGTTAAAAACAAGTTCACTGAAAATAGGAGGGAGAGTTTGATGAGAAACAAACCATTCAAAAGTCTTTACAAGCCTAGTATAAACTTCAAATACACTGAAATAAATCACCCAGCCAAGGAGCAAAAATCTTCGAAACACCGAGTCAAGCTTCACAACCGACTGATAGCACAAATGTCCACTTTGCGCACAAACACACATAATCAAACCGACAAACCCGGCGGCATGGGAAAAGCAAACCAGACTTATCAGAGACAGGTGTGAACAAGATTCAGCGCCTCTGGATGAGAAGCCATCAAATCCGTCATTCGAGCCGCACTTTCATCCGGCATTGCTATCTTCATGTTAACACTTTTTTCCGACATTAGTCGAGAGGCCAACTGTTCGTTTGTTTTGATCCGTGCTGATGTGTGCCGCGTTTGATGCGGTGGTCAACGAGGTGTAAGATGCATTTCCTGCTTCACTGTTAATATATAATGGCTTAGATTCCGAAAAGAGGGGTGACGCACTTGGGGTAGCAGATTTCGCTTTTAAAACTCTTTATTTTGCTCCTTATAATTCCCTTTTCTGGGTTCAAAAGCTTAATCTTTTTCGACTATCGTGGTACCAGTAATATTTTCAAATTAGAAGAGTGGGATTAAGCTTTTTGGCTGTTCAAGCGAAAAAGGTAAAGCTACTATCTTGAGCCTGAAAAATTTTTTTGGAACGAAGCTGTTGAAAAAAATAGGTTTCTTTTTCATATTTTTTTAAGATTTTTAATGTAATTGGGAGATTACATGAGCCCACCAAGAAAGTCAGGTTCTAATTTACTACAGCTTTTTTCAAAGCCCCCCAACATCTTTAGACAATGCTGATTTTTTTTCGGATAATAAGAGTCCAATAGGAACAAAGAATAAAGAAGAGGCTGCGACGCGACTTGAAGACAATAATGAAGAGAAAAGAGAATAACTAATCTTTTTTTTAATGCTGTTCAATTGAACCAAATGATGAGAAAGAAGTATCGATATATCATGTTTAGTGAAACGAGAGAGCAAAAAGGCGGATTTGAAAGCTTTTACAGAAGATTTATTTTTTTTCAAAGTGTAAAGTACATCAATTTCTCTAAAAATTCTACCCTTTTAAAAAAGCTTTCAAAAACGATGAAAAAATATTTGCCTTGTGTTAATACTTTTATCGATTACTAAATTAACTGAAAAAAAGCTTGGAAAGCTTAAAATTTAGTCACTAGAATATTTATGCTCAACCATATGAATCTCTCAAAAAAAACAGCCGGGAAAGAAGGTCCAAAATTTTCAGAGACAGACATCGACAGACCTGGGGATACTTGAATTTAACAATTTGAGCTGCCTAAAAGACTGAAAAATAAATCGAGAGCTGAAACTCAAGAACTCCAAAACCATGAACAAAGACGAAAAGGAGGAATACATGGAAAGCGGTGACTTTATTAACCGCAATTTCGAGACCGCGACAGCCGTGTGCCATAAACCGACCATCAACGAGTGCCGCCGGCGATCCGCCTACACCCTTTCGGCCCATTGTTCTATCCTTTTTCCTCATCCTTCCTTCGCCCATCCATTCAGTTCTTCCTCAAGCCAAACGCGGAGGTCATTCTTAGACCCGCATCTCTAAGAAAACGAACGGCAGCGGAGAGGAAACCGATTTGCATTTTGAAATTAGATGGAGAAACGGGAAGGCAAAAACGGTTGTTGATTGGCGTGCGAAAGGCTAGGAAAATCTTCGACTTGCAATAGTCGGACAGGAGGTTTTTCAGTGTGGAAAGTGAAAAAAATGCTTCTGTTCAGAAAATATAACAATTCGTTTCAAAAGAGCTCGAAAAGTTAGAAATATGGCTACTATTCTGAAAATTTTGATCTCATTTAACTAGTTGAATTTTTTTCCAATTTTTTTCCAATTTTAATGTTAAAATGAAAGAATTTTTTTCAAGGAGTAGACCTAA